ACCCAGGTCGATGATATAAGGCCACATGCTCCATTTGTCTTCCATGGCCAAATCTTATTCAAGGAGCAGAAGTTACCTGGAGCCCTCAGATGTATGTCTCTGGTCAGAATAGGCTGCCCTGTCTGTAAAATACTGGTGACCCACCTTCTCGGCTGTGTCCCCAAGCCTTAGATGACCCGGTTGAACCTTTCAACCCAGTTCTTGGGCTTCTTGGGCAAGGCAGATGCAATGTGAGGGGCTGAGATCTCCAACCTCTCGGAGGGGTCCTAAAAACTCCATACCTGACTGAGATCCCAGGAGTATGTGGGGCATGACACTGGTCCCTGGCTCTGATTAGTAATGCCTGGCCTGGGGACTGAGTAGGTATGGTTGTGTGGCCGCTGCTAGGTCCCATCCTGATCTCCCAAGAGCACAGCATTTTTATACCAATACTTGAGAACCACAGGTCACCAAGGAACAAGAGCCGAGGCAGGGAACCCCTTCCTGGGTCCTCTGCTCCCTCGGGGCCTCTGCTGGGGACTGGGGAGCTGCCTCTAGCTTGTGACAGCACCCCCCCACCCCCAGCTCTATTTTAGGCCCAGGAGAGGTGAGAAGGCGATTTCCCAGGAGGCACTGACATCAATGCTGGGAACGAGGTGACTTCCCCCTCCCCAACCACCTGCCATTCCAGCCCCAGATGCTCAGCAAAGCTGAGCAAATCCTTTCTTCACTCTGGAAACATCCTGAAAACCTCCAGGATGCTTGGGTGAAGGGGCTTCTGGGATGAGGGTCCTTCCCGGCATGGCAAGATTGTGCTCCCCATTTTACAGAACTCTAAGTCCCCCAGCTGCTAATGAGAGGTGTGTGTCACAGGCCAGGGTCCCATTCCTCACTGGTTAAGCCTGTCTCCACCTCTGCCTCTCTGTAGGTTCAGAGGGGACTGGTACATCCGATTCCTAAACTTCTAAGCCACTTGGCATTCCAGACCTCAGCGTGACCATCCACCCCACCACGCTGTGTCGCTGTGTCGGGTAACATGGTACATTGGCAAGCCCTGACGAGGTATGCCATCAGACAGGTTAGGTGGGTCTTTTTCACAGTGGAGGACCGTGAGGCTGGAATCTGGGTCTCTCCACACATCTAGGACCCCATGGGAGTCTGAATCCAAGGTCCAGGACTTGAACCACTGCGGTTTCTGACTGTGATATCTTTGCTTCTGGGGAGACTTTCCTGGCCCTGAGCAACATTTTTTTTTTTCTGGTGGCTCCCTAAGCCAGTTTGGGTTCAATTATATGACTCCTTGACCCCCAGTTCCTGGCTCTGTGTGGACCCAGGTGAATGTCTTGACTGTCCTATGACTACATCTCACTTCCCAAGGCAAGGGTCCGCCACCCATCTTGAACCCTTTCAGCTCCACTACAAGGTGCCTGGCCAGCCAAGCTGGCCTGGCTCTCCTGCCCCCACCCTCCATGGGTCAGGAGTTATTTCTGTCTTCAAACTGGTGGCCCTCCTGTTGGGAACTTCAGAAGAAGAGGGACTGTCTCCCTCATTAGACGGGCTCCTGATAGAAGTGGCCGTCTTCCCTGTGGGTAGGGGATTGCCTGGGCCCCTCTTAGAGTTGCCTATGGCAATCCCTACCCCGACACCACCGCTATGGCCTGCCGCTTCAACTGCTGCCCAGCCACGGGGTCTCCCTGGCTAGTACCTTTTCTATACTTAGGGTTCCATTTCCCTTCATCAGAGGGAGAGCTCTACCCTCCCTCAGGAACCCCACACCAGGGGGCCTGGGCTCCTCCTCCTCGTAGTTCTTTCTGTCCTTAGGCCAATTCTCTCCTCAAGTTTTCCTACTAAAGGGCCAAGCTGGGTGGGTGAAGGGCCCAGATCTTGCTTTGGAAACTTCAGGTATCGGAGGTTGTCCTGGGCGCGTCAGGGACAGGGACTGCTGTTGGTAGAGCTACTCAGGCCTGGTCCCCAGTCTGTCCAGGGGACAGAATGAATGGAGAAGTGGATACAAACAGGCCTTGAGACTTAATTAATTTATTTAAATACTGTGAGTTCAAGGCCAGCGTCACAGGGCTACATAGTGAGACCTTGTCTCAAACAAACAGACAAAAATATTATTGGAGCCAGGCATGGTGACGCCTTTAGTCAGCTGGATCACTACACGCAAGCTCCAGGCCATCCAAAGCGGCATAGTGAGACCCTGTCTTAAACAAAAAGGTCTTGAGGCTCTAGACTGGGTCCCAACCCTGGCTCCCTCATTTATTGCATATCTGACCCTTCGGGCCTCCAGGCCTGGCTCACAGGCTGCAGAGAGGGAGCCACGGTGCTGAACCTCACGCATTTCCAGAGGCCCACGCTCTGCTGAGGTTCCACCAACTGAGCCGGCAATAAAGGTGCGGAGGAGCCAGCTCTTTGGACCCTGTTAAGCACCCATGGTCCAAAGGCTTGCAAGCCTCAGGGATCTCTCTGCGCATACGGCTTGGGTGGCATGATTCTGCGGGTTTGGGGCAAGGAAGTGCTGTGGCTCTTGCTTCATCTCAGACCCAGCCCAGGGCAGATGCTCTTCCCCTTTGAGTAGCTCCCCAAACTTCCCACACCTGCTGTCACTCATTCGAGTGGTCCTCCAGGAAACTCTGCAGCTCCCGGGCCTTGCCCAGGGAAAAGGAAGCTCTACCTGGGTCCCAGGATCCCTGGCACACCGGCCTTTGAGGGACTTGTGGGACACAGAAGTCTGTCTCAAGGGCCCAAGGGCCCCTTCTCTTTCCCATAGAGATCTTCGTGGAGACTGGAGACTTAGCTTCAAGAGGGCCCCTTAGCAGTGTCATCCACTTTATTATTATTATTATTATTATTATTATTATTATTATTATTACTATTATTACATGTTTTATTTTGAGACAGTCTCATCTCAAATCTCCTTGGCTGGCCTCAAACTTGCTATGTAGCTGAGGGTGACCCCGAACCTCCACCTTCTGAAGGCTGGAATTACTGGTGTATACCATCACTCCTGGATTATACAGTGCTGGAGCTGGAACCCATGGTTTGGTGCCTGCTAGGCACACACTCTAAGGACCGAGCTCTGTCCTCAGCTGTTCACCCATGACTTAGACTATAGACAAGGACAAAGGCTGTAGAACAAGAACTATGGGACTAAGCCAGGCTACATGTGTGGAGGGAGAGCACACCACCGGGAGGGAGTTCACGCCAGTCTGCTGAGACAATGTGCCAAGCACCTCACATATGTACAGTTTGATGCTTGCCATTTCCTGGTGGACGGCAACTACCACCACCTTCATTTTTTAAAGCTTATGGAGTTATGAAGCAAGGTTTGGGCTCGAACTTAGGTCTATGTAGCTGCCAAGTTCATAACGGCTCACAGACAGCAACAGCCCAGCATGTGCAAGAGTCTCTAGGAACAACCCCAGGGAACAATAGGAGACAGCCACAGAGGCTGCCCTCCCCCTGGCGAGAAGACTAGGACCTCACAAGGCTGGATAGGGGGTGGAGGAGGGACGGCAGAGATTTAGGAGTGGAGGTGGAGGCAGGTGGGTGAATTAAACAGGCCAGGAAGGTGGAGAGGGTGACGGTGTGGGACTTGAATCTAGCTGGCTACATCGAGTGACAGAGCAACTCAAGAACAAAAGACACCAGGCGGTGGTGGCGCACACCTTTAATCCCAGCACTCGGGAGGCAGAGGCAGGCAGATCTTTGTGAGTTCGAGGCCAGCCTGGTCTACAGAGGGAGATCCAGGACAGGCACCAAAACTACACGGAGAAACCCTGTCTCGAAAAACCAAAAAACAAACAAACAAACAAAGAACAAAAGGCAAAGGGGGGCAGGCCTTGTTTTGAGGGTGGATTCCTAGGTAGGACGGCCAAACGTGAGCTTTGATGAGGTCAAGGTATTTTACCACGGGGAAGGACTCAGAAACCATCTCATCCACACCCCTAGTTTCTTTCTTTCTTTTCTTTTCTTTTCTTTTTTCTTTCTTTCTTTTCTTTTTTTTTTAATTTTTTGAGATAGGATCTCACTGTGTATCTCTGGCTGTCCTGAAACTCACTATGTAGACCAGGCTGGCCTTGAACTTGGAGATCTGCCTGCCTCTGCTTCCCAGGTGCTGGGATTAAAGGCATTCGCCACCACCACCTGACTGGACAGGAGTTTTTTGACAGCAGGTGACAAGTGTCTCTCTACAGGTGACTACTCACTGGACAGCAGAGCTAAAAGTGCCAGACAGGGAAGAGGGCACAAGGCAGGGATACATGTCCCGACCACTCTTGGTCCCAGGCCAGGCTGCAGGAGGTAGCAGCGTTCACACGGCCTCCTTTTGCAGGGACCTACGCAGTTCTCCAGTGACTGTGGACAGTGGTCATCTGGGCCCTACCCTGTCGTGGGTTACTTCAGGGCAGACTGAGACCAACACGCTGCACTCCAGCCTGGCCTCTTTGCTCTAAGTTATTAACAAAGGTATTGACATGCTCTGAATCCGGATTGTAAAACTGAACGGCATTAAAAGGACAAACAGGGTCTCCGAGGAGCTCAGTGTACTCAGTTGCTCTATTTCCAAGATAACAACTCAGGTCCTCACCCACAGCTAGGCCCCCCTTTCTTCCTCCAAAAGGAGACAGAATAGCACCAGACTCCTGGCAGCTTCAACATTTAAAGAGACAAGCACACAGGCAGAGAGGGTGAGAAGGACCACGGAACAAATTGTAATAAAAAACAGTGGCCCAGGAATCGATAGCAAGCCCATTTCTGTCTCCAGATTAATGGCTTGGCTGTCAGAAATGGGAGGAGGTCCTGGGGG